CTTCTTCTTCTTCTTCTTCTTCTTCTTCTTCTTCTTCTTCTTCTTCTTCTTCTCCTCCTCCTCCTCCTCCTCCTCCTCCTCCTCCTCCTCCTCCTCCTCCTCCTCCTCCTCCTCCTTCCTCCTCCTCTTTCCTCCTCCTCCCCCTCTCCCTCCCCCTTCCCCTCCTCCTCCTCCTTCCTCCTCCTCTTTCCTCCTCCTCCTCCTCCTCCTTTGAATGATTTTCACTCAAAGCTTTCCAACATCAGCTCTGAAAGCTGGAGTAGAAGTCATTTTTATGTGATTTTATAATTTAAGCATTTACATGAATTAGTGACAATGAGATAAATATTTAAATAATGTATGATGCTTTACTTAAATGTTTATAAAATTATGTATGTGTGAACATGAGTGGGTGTATTTGCATATGGGTATGTTTGAATTAATACTGGGTACTGTTGCGGTGACTATCAAGTTGGTCCATTTATTAATACAATTATTTATATTAAGGGTTAGACATTTATACTTGAATGATGCAATGAAAAGATAATCAGAAAGAAGTCCGCTCAAATTTATATTTAGGTATTTAGAAAGAATCATCATGGATCAATATAATGAGAAGCCTTTAAGACCAACATGTCTAATTTCTTACAGTGAATGAAACACTACTTCACAGAGAAAGTAAAGCTTGCCTTACTTTCTTATAGCTAAATTTTCTAAACACTGTTAGTTTCCATGATGCCTAAAACAATCTGATATCAATGTTTGTAACATCCCTAGATCAAGAAACACCATTTTCTCTAACATCATTTTTTTAAAAACTAGAATTGTTTCACCAATAATCAAGATGAATTTGTAGAAGACAAGGAAAAATATTAAACTGTGTTATGGTAAAGGACTGCAAAAGTACTCTTTCACAGAGATGGAAAAACAGCTTAGTGGTTAAAAGAATTTTGTAATTTTTCAGAGGACTCTGCTTGGGTTCCCAATACCCATATTGTACAACAAATACCTGTACCTCTTCTTGCAGGGCACATGATGCCCTCTGATGGCCTCCACAGGTACCAGGCATGTGGAACACACATATATACAATGCATGATGGCAAACTCTCATACACAGAAAATAAAAATAATTAAACCTTACAAAAGAGCAACATTCACATAAATGAGTAAAAATTTTTCAGAACCATTAATGGTTGCAGTGATATACTAAAGACATGCTTTAAACTAATATTTGACAGCTTTTTTGTTTAATCATACTTGTCAAAACACCCGTCTCTGGTTCTATTCACTTTAATGAAATAGTTTCGAGTCAGTGCAAAGATTATCTATGCATCAGCAGAGCCTTTCTTACCAATTTCTTGTTGTGCTCCCCATGACTCAACACACTAGAGGTTCTTAATTACGTTTCCTAATGCTTGCAAAAGTAGTGAAGCAAGCCAAATGTAAGCAAGAATACAGCATGGAGAAGAGAGACCAGCTTGAAGGTAGAATGTGAAAAACTCAATAAGCGAAAGCTTTAATATGGCTGCGCTCATGAGAACGACTTTCACATTAATGCCTACACTCGAGGTATGAATTGGATTAAACAGAGAAGGTAGCAGTATGAAAGGAAGCATGTAATTGAGGAAAGGTTGTGTTCCATCCAAGAAGCTGTGATTTTCTACATTGGATCCACTTGAAATTTGATTCACTCGCAGTCAGAGAAAGAGCGTATAAGTCAAGTGCAGAGGCCTTTCCATTCTGGGTATTTTATAGGACCTCTTGTACCTCTGCTCCATTTATTTTAACTCCTTCCAGTAAGAGATATGGCCTCTGGGTTGGGGTAAATGATATGATCTCACTTCTTAGAGTCGTTCGCCTTGAATAACCGTAGCTCATAAATTTCTACCTACATCCACAGTTGTGGGGTCAGTGGAGGCTTTGTACTGAGCACTGGGCATGGCTTCACTGAAACAGACCTTGAATGCAAGCTGTGGGTTCCTAGCTGACCTCTTTAATTTAGTTAATTTTAGGTTGTTATATTTCTTTGAACTAAAATGAATAATATTTACTTCATGAATGTGGATGAGAGGATTTAGAAAGAATTGCACAAAACTTTGAACATTATTCCTGATGTAAAATAGAAAAATTAACTCTGCTCATGACCTACAATTCTTGAAATATAACAGAAGGTAGCATTCATAATTATAAGCCCAATTTCTCTTATCTTTTTGCAAATGGAGCTCCAGTTTTTGGACATCAGATTTTATTCATGCAGAAGACTGCTGTCTGATATATCCACATGGCTACCCCTTACATTTTTATAGTATGGACTATGTTTTACCTAATCCAAGACATTTTTCCTATAGGAAGTAATATCCTCTTGTCCTTTATTTTTCCTTTATAATTCTTTTTTTTCTTTTCTAAAACATAATTTTATTAATTTAAATGATGTGTCTGCTTTTATGTATGTGAGTGACTATGTACTACTGATTTGGATGTGCTATTAATGCCAGAAGTGTTGAATGCCTCTGGAGCTGGAATTATAGGTGACTGTATGTGACCCAATGTTGGTGCTTAGACAGATTCTCTGTAAGAGCTGCATACCGTCTAATGGTTCACGATCTCATCAGCCCTGCTCTTTTCTTTGTTTTTTAAAAACACGTATTATTAACCATGTCTAGATGAATAAAATACTCTCCTTTGAGAACAGACACTTTATTGTTTTTCCTGAAAATAAAAGAAGTACTCTTAACACAAACGAACACATAAACTATTCCCAAATCTATTAATGAAATATGAACCCTGTGAAAATGGATTTTGTGACAATTAAATAACACTAGTCAATATTTTATTACAGTTATTTATTGCAAACTTCTAGTGTTGGCCTAATCTATGCCAGTGTTCAGCAAGTACATTTTAGTACTTCAGTTCAATCTTTTCAAAATGCAATTATAATTATAATACTTTAAAAATTAATGATACTTTTAGTATAAATAAGTTATCAATTTAAAGAAAAATATTAATATTTAAAAATTTCAAAATATTCAAACTCTGGTCAAACCTTAGTGTTGTCAGTTAGAACTAGCTTATGTACAAACTTAATATGTCTCAATCTTAATTTTTGTTTAAACTCAATACTGTAATAGTATGTTGACTATGCTGTAGTAAACCCTGCGTTTGTTCACCCTCTGTCCCTTATACTCAATTACTAATACACACTTTATAGGAAATTATCATTAGTCTTTCAGTATTAGTTTTATTTTTGGTGGTGTTGTTTTGGGTAAATGGTCTCCATCTGTCGACTATGCTAGCTAGCCTCAAGCTCACTCTCCTCCTGAGCTAGCCTGCCAAAGGATGTATTTATACTCAGTCATCAAAATGACATGCTTCAAGTTACAGTTTTAATGTAAAACTCTCTTTCCTCATTTATACATCTATAAATTTTGACTTTTGGGATTCTATGAAAATTGAACCTGATTTATTCTTTACTAATGGTTATCTACAATGTAGCCTTTTAGGTCTCTGTTCCTCTCTGAACATGAAGAAAATATTATGTCGTTCTTATACAGTATTTGATCCTCAGAACAGCACATCACGATTGTTATGGAGCATGGTTTTGTAAACTATTTTTCAATGGATATTTTGGTCTGTAGTTCAAACGGCACCTAGAAGGTCTTGTGTGTGTGTGTGTAATTTCTTTCTGTGTGTGTAGAAGTACTTTGTGTGTATGTATGTGTGTAGAAGCTCTGTGTGTGTGCATGTGCATGTGTGTTTGATTCTCAGCTATTTGGTGAGATTATACAAGTTTTATTTCTTAGAGCCTTGTAGGAGGAGTTGAATCACAAGGGTAGATCCTGAGTTGCATCCTGCTTGCATTCTGCTGCCTGATTGCTGTTGCAGTGTTACCAGTTTTTCTGCACCTTCTCTCATGCTAACATTTCTATAAAATCTTAGAACTTAAGAGAGAACAGGTCCATTCTCCTTTAAGTAGGTTCTTGCTGGTCTCTGTCTGTCAACTATGGTAGCCTCAAACTCACTCTCATCCTGAGTTAGGCTGCCAAGGTCAAGGTAATGAGAAAAGGAACTAATTCAGTAGGTACAGTACCACATGGCTATGGCTGTGATTATCACCATTGTGGAAAAAATATCTGCACCTTGTTTATATGGCATTACAATAGTTTTCATTAAATCAAATCTGTACAATATACAGAACAATGGCTTATTTTAGAATGAAAAGATGGAAAAGATAAGTAAAGAGTAGAAAAGAGTTCAAGGATCTAGGAGAAAATATTAAAATAGAATAAGATGATCTTATTCTCTAAGGGAAGGGAAAAAAGAGTAAAGAAAAGAGGTACATATATTTTAATCTTTTAATTTTCCTCAAGTAATTCTATGTCCAAACTTAAGAACTAAAACTTTTCCATAGCTCATTATTGTATGATAAAATTTTCCATACATAGCTGGAGTTTAATTTTAATCCAGTTTTGCTTGGTCTTAGTTTTGAATGCCTAATATTAAGTATACAGATTTTATTCTTCTTCCCTCCTATCTTCATTACTTATTACCTTCTATTTTAATCTACATTACATGTGGCATCTATGTATTTTATGACTTGAACTTTATTTTCATTCCTTTTACTCAGTTTTCTTAAGATTTTTATTCAGCTATGATACTTTTATATCAAGAACAATTTCTCACCTCGTGACTTTTATGATTCCTGCTTATACTTAATTTACTGTTACACAAATTTTATATAAACTCCAATATCTTAAATTACAATTACACATAAATATAAATGCTAGTAGAAGCAAGTAAAGTATTCAAGTTACGCAAAATGCAACCGAGAACCATTAATGAATGCACAGTGAGTGCTACTAGACTATCTTTAAGCATTATTGTGAATTGTTCCAGAATAGTATTTTGTATAATTGTATATCTGAAGATAGAGGTAAAATAATATTTTAGAAATCAAGTTCATTAAATTTCTTATAGGACCATTGAAGCTGAGATTACTAGGAACTAGAAAACTGGAATCTTACCATCTAAATCGTTCTCTGGAGTCTCTGCTGTGTACCAGTTGGAAGGTGGTCCAGTGCCATTGACAGTCATAGCTGACACTTGGAAACTGTATTGACTCCCTTTCTCCAACCCTATGAAAAAAAAATTCCACCAGAAAAAATGTTACTGAACAGTAAGTATTTCCAGCTGGGTTTTCAATGCTCTAGAAAAATTATGACAATAATTGTCGTTATTTAACTATTTTGATTGTTTTGATAAGTATTGTTACTTTAATTACAAGGAGAGAAATAGCATAGCAGGAACTGAAATTATAAATAAATTCTAAATTTCTGTGCATTTTTTTCAGTTTATGAAATGTATCATTGAAAACAACCTCAGGGTAAATGCAGAATATAAAATATGAATGATGAAGAAATAATCAAAAATAGCATGAGTCATTTTCCTCACTGTTCTGAGGAGCTCTGCCTGTAAATCAAAAACAGTCAACTTAAACATTTATGTTCCATCATTCATTCAAGGTCAGTGATTAGGTTTTCAGGAGGCCAAGGAAGAAGAAACCAGAGCAATTGAATTTTAGTAGAAAATAAACATACTTTTACTTTTAAAATTCTTCTCATATATTACATCCCGACTACAGTTTCCTCTCCCTCTCCTCTCTCCAGTTTCTCCCCCTACCTTCACTCTTTCCCAGTCCACTTCACACCATATGCCTCCCCTCAGGAAAAAAATAAAGCAGGACTTCCAGACACATCAACCAAACAGGACATAACAAGCTACAGTAAGAGCATGAAGACACTATCACATCAAGGCTGGACAAGGTCAGTCAATAAGAGGAAAAGGGTCTCAATAATAGCCAAAAGAGTCAGTGAAGAACCCAATCCCACTGTTATGATCTCCACACAAACACCAAGCTACTCAGCTATAACATGTCTGATTGGGATCTAGGTCAGACTCCTACAGGCTCTCTTTTCTTTATATGACCCAATGTGTCCCAGTAAGTTGATTCTGTGGGCTGTGATTTCATAGCTACCCTTCCAGTATATCTTACTACAGTTCCCATAGTAGAGAGAATTTTGGTCCATCTCAATAACTATTTGGGTGCATTATATTATCCACTGTACTGGCATTGAAGATTATTTTAGAAAGAACAGAAATTACAATTAGAGTGGACCCAGAAACTATCATTTAATGAGTTTAAGATTTGGATGTAAAAACCCATTCTTTTCTCCAAGTCTCAAAGGCATTTAAAAAACAAATAATATCTTTTGCCCTGTTTTAACTGTTTTCCCAAAAACTCATGTTAAATTTTAATCATCATTTTTTTTTTACAGTGAGATGGGACATTAAGATGAAATTAAATCATGAAACATTTGCCATCATCCATGAATGAATGTTCCTGTGGCAAGAGGATTAGTTACTCCAGGAATTAGTTCCTCATATGGATGATGAATTTGGTCCAATTTTCTTTTTAGAAATTTGTTTACATTTTCATAGACATTCAAGAGATGACTCTCATCATACTCTGGTATTATGGTCCCAGCTTTCAGAATTACCTACACTTGTTTACTAACCTCCTAGTTAGTGCAATCCAATTGTAATAGTAGAGATGTATAAAATACATTCTTCACACGTAAGAAAATGTCATAGTGAACCTCAATATTTTGTCCAGTTCCTATGTGTCAATACTTCTTAAGAAAACATGGGTCACTATTAAGACAATGAAATCTCAATGTAAATTGTTTAGTTTTAGATCTGAAATAGTTGAAAGTCTCTTATAGAAATTAGAATCCTGTCTAATTTTGTTTTCTATTTTTCTCTCTGATAATACGAAACAGTATCACTATTTCATATGAAACATTAAGTAAAATAGATTACTGTAGGATGATGTTTATATTATGTGATAATTGTATATATTCACCAAAAAGATGAATACTTTGTAGCAAGGTCATTTCTAAATACATACTCATAGGGGATAGTGTCAATCAGATGATATTTAAGAACAGATACATTAAAGCTTACATGTAATTTTCACATATGGAGAAATCTATTTGCTAAATTCAGTCACACAAACATTCGGTAGAGATCTTCTTTCTAGAGAAGATTTTAGTTTTACAAAACGGAGAAGGACTGTACCTGAAATTGCTACTGTTGATTTGCTATTGCTAACATTGATGTTTTAACTCTCTACCATAAACTATACTACAATGCTTGACACGTCGAATATTTTCATACAGTCACCCCCTGACAAATCCAATAACACTGAATGAGCACAATAATAATTAAAGCAAATGAAGTATTAGATTGAAATACAACATTCGACACCATCATGAGTACAAAATGACCTTTGGGAACATGAGACTTTTGTCATCCCTCAAGAAAGCTTATAATCATTTCACTTTGCTACCCATTCATAAGCAAAACTGTTGATTGTTAAGAAGAGGTGTTGCAGAGGTTTCCGAAGAAATTTTAGGATGAATAAGGAAAGAGATCCAGGAAGTCATGTTTACCCAAATTACAGAAAGCAGTGGCTTTGATAGTGGTCTTTTCTGAGACTGAGTTGAAATTTACCAAGAATGTAGTTTCCCATGTTAGGGAGAAATTTTGCTACACTTTTGGTCACAATGAATAAGCAAGCAATGGCATCAATTTTGTGTGCAATAATTGCTCTCAAAGGCCATCTGTCATCACTAGCATTCTGTGCCAACTGGGTGGGCTATGATCTCCACTGATTGGAACACTAATCAAATGTTTCCAGACGGAGACCTTGTGGATTGTATTCCAGTACATATGTAGTCTTAAGTTATAAATATTATTTAAGCAATCACATCAGGAGAAGTTTTAAGTTCAGACCTTGGAGTTCTCTGAAACAGAATTTCTACACTTGGATGTCAAGTTCTGCTTCAGAGATACAGTTGCATTATAATCATCTCAGACCATTCTTTGTAAACTGTATCTCTCTACGTCTGTTAAAAACAAAAACAGAAAAGAAGATTTTGGACATCATGCATCATGTCAGTTCTACCATGTTTGGAAGCACTGTGAAGCTCAGCTCAGCCTTCTGTATGTCTGTGAGTCTGTGTTTGAGTCCAAAGTCATTAAGGAATAAAATCATTCTAAAGAAAGTATTACATATCTATCGTGAGTCAAAAAATTTTATCATTAAAACAGAGAATCCCTGACTAGTGTTACTCTTCAAACTTGGAGTCTTTAACCACTATAATTTCTCTCTTTGATGTCTAATTTTATACACCATATGGGGAAAGATGGTATATCTTACCAGCATGATTGCTTTCATGTTATCCTTGTTAGAAAATTGCTATACTGTTCCCACTTTCTAGCCCATAAAATACTGGTGCATGTTTATCATTACCGTTATTCTATATAGGCCATGAAATATGAGGACTCTCTTAAATCCAGTGTCAAACAATCTTTCTAGAATATCACTAAAAACTAAAAACATCACTTTCAAATTCAGTTTCTATGGGTTCCCACTGGACTGATGCATGCAATTTGACATCCTTGTTAGAACTATGAATTACTTTGTTATTACAGATGTCCCATTATCATAGTAAAAAAATAGAACACAACCAAAACACCTGTCTAACAAATTCAGCTTTGTAAATAAAAAAATGCATCTCTACCTTTCAATTATACCATATGAAAAGAAAGCATTAAAGCATTTCCAATTTTCTCACATCCAAATCAATACATCTATGTATTTCCCAGGCATTGAAAATATGGGGTCAACTCCTGCACATTTTAGAACATTGTGGATTTATATTGAAAATCAATGACTCTACTTACTAACTATAAGAATATCAGTTCCTAGATATGTTACATGGGATAGCATAAATCACATTAAATCTTTAAGTGTGCAGTACTTGCTGGCTTATTAATGCTTTTGAAAACATGTCAAACTGTCTAGAAAAGTAACAGGTGTTCCTGAGTATGAGCCATGGGACATGGAAGAGAAAGGCAAAAGCTCTTTCAAATATGCTTTACTGACTGTTTTTATTGCTTCAGTTCAAACCACAAGAAGAAGCATGCATGACATTTTTTGAGGTTAATAGCAGATGCAGTTACTTATCTTTTTGATTGTATTGTGTTTAAATTCCCAAATGTATTTTACTTATTTTGGCCACAAAGATGTAATGGTGGGAATAAAAGCTACATTTTTGAATTGAGATTCTTTCAATCCCTTAAATAGGCAAACAGTTATAAACCATTCTGAATAATAAGCTATTTAATTCCTATCTTGTCTTTCCATTGGGTAGTGGGGTAATAAGCTGGAGTAGTGAGGGGTTACTCTATGCTGATTAGATGTACTTATTATCCTACCCAGTTCAGAGAAATAAAGATTTAGAGATGAATTATTTATCTTTGAGTACATTTTATTGAAGAATGCAATTTAAAATGATTGTGCTTGAGGGAAAAATAACACAGATTTGTACTGGCCTGAATAGTGTCTTCCCAAATTTGTATATAGTAGGAATATCAGCATTCAACCACACTTGCAGACATATCCTTTGGACAGAATGAAATCATACTGGATTTAAGTGAGCACAATACAAATGAATAATGTTTAACTCTTTAACATGTGACAGGTTATTTCTCTATTCCACACAACTTTTAATAAATAAGATATGACAGGTCTTTAAAAAGTCTATTAGCTAAAGTTATTTATAATTTTAAAGCCTGTTTTCTATGATAGTCATACTCTAATGTACATTACTTTTGTTTAAAAGTATTGTAAAAATAAAATTATACCTTAGAATGCATCCTAAAATTAGGAAAACTGGGTCTGTATTGTATCTCTGTGGAAAGAAATTTAACTCACAATACATAATATGCTTTTGTACATGTGCATATAATACATATACACAGTGTTTTCAATGACATTCTAGGATTATATTCAAAGTATGGAAATTCATATTATTCATGTGCTTCCTGAATATACTGCCACTTACTTTTATCATTGTTACTACAATCAAAGAAAATAATCACTAATATAATGTCTGTTTCTCTATTTGCAAATGAGATTGAACGTTTTATCATGTTTATTGGCAATTTAGAGTGTTTTCAATGGAATTTCCAGTCCTTAGTGTCTATGTTCTATGCCCATTTGTTATTT